GAGGTCTCTTCCAGTTCTATTATTCTAAGGGCGCAAGCGGTGGTGAAATACATTGGACTCACCAGGTACTGGAGTGGAAGGGAGGTTAGGCAGACCCTTGACCAAATTTTCAAACTTGCTGCCTAGAGGCGGGAGTCGCTGAAGAACGGTTGTTAGGGGCTCTTCTATGGTGGTTTTGAGGTTGGAAGCGATTCTGTTCAAAAGGCCGGTACTGCTGTTGTCTAGTAAAGGCCGTGTCCCTGTGTCTCTGGTAAGGTGTGTAGCACTTCCTCCGGTGGAGTGGAGTGTACATCCCCAATGTGCGCAAGGTAGCGCGCGAATCTTTGCTACTGTGCAAGACCTCGTCAGTACCTGTAGCAAATCATTTGGTCTCGTGGGCCGAGTGGTGCAGCTCTCTTTAGAAATCTCACACCAGTGCTTTTTTTGCATTTTGTCAAATCTGCTGTGAAAGTGTTCTCAAAAGCAACGTGTGCTAGGCCATCATCTGAGACTGCTCTCACATGAAATCTAGGGCAGACTGCAGGTAAAATGGAGCAGGAGACATTCTCCCCCAAGGAGCTCAGTCACACATTTCATTAAGGTATTATTTTTTAAATGAGCGTCAAGGAAGCATGTCCTGTAGAGTAGTGGCCAAAGCAAGAAGGGCCATATGAGTGTTTAACATGTCTGCACATACCTAGCTTGCAACGCCAGCTACAAAACTGCCATGCAAATACCTGTTCTCACTTTCAGAAGAGTTTGTACATGAAAAGCAGGCAGCATTATTTCCCACAAATGTAAACGACTGTGTTTGTCTGAGTGACTGGCTGAACAAAAACTAGGACTGAGTGGATTTGTAGGCTTTAGAGTTTTACATTGTTTAATCTTGAATGCAATTATTTTTTGTACATAATTCAACATGTATTAATTCAGCATTCATGTTCAACAGATTACACAACAGTAATTGTTATGGGGAATTGAAAAATACCATCTGTTTTGTTTTTTACAAAGCAAACATTTGTAATAAAAAATATAACGTGAGCACTGTACGCTTTATATTCTGTTGGAATTGAAATCAATATATTTGAATATGTAGGAAAAACATCCCAAAATATTTAATACTTGTCAAGTACTGTAACAGTGCAATTCAAACTGTGATTAATCACAATTTTTTAAATTAATCGTTTGAGTTAACTGATTAATCAACAGCCCTACTATTTTCCTGTGTCTCCAGTATAAATTGAGCCAGGTAATACTTCTGAGGAGAATTAAAAGTACATCTACACAGGTAGAAGGGAAATTGAACCATCAGACTAAGTGAGTGGACAGGGATAAAGCCAGCAAGTCCTTTCTCCCATTCCCCAGGAGGCTTGGGGAAATACAAGCAAAAGGCAGGAGCCTTTGCGGCATCCACCACTGCCACTTCTGTGAGCAAAACTTACGTCACTCCCACCCCCACCGGCAACGTCAGTGGTGCTGTGAGAGCTTCTCCTGCCAACATCGCTACCCCATAGGTTGTTGCAGTGCTTCCATTACGTCAATGACAGAGCTCTCTCCCATTGGCATAAAGCAGCCACACCACAAGCTTTCAGCTGGGTTCCTGTAAGAGCTCTATGGCAGGCATGGCCAAAGGGAGTTGAAGCCTCTGGGAACTGACTACAGGCAAAACACCTGCTTAGCCAACGACGATCAACTGATCAAGTTCACTTTTAGTCACTGGGAAGTGAGTTTTGCTTGACTTGTAACCATAGCGTCTTCTAGTCTTTATTATCACCTACCCCTATGGTCTTTGGTAATAAACTTACTCTTGTTCGTAACAAACTCTGAGTGCTAAGTGTAGGCCCTCAGCTAAGCGAGCAGGCTGCACTGGAGGTGCAGTAGAAAGAAGGCCTGGAACATAGGCCTTTGTATCAGAGACCTGAGGCCTAGGCTAAAATAGCCACCAAACCTTTGTGGCTACAAAGCAAAGTGAAAAGGAACATGCTGAGCCATCCTCAGGATAAGGTCAGGGTGACAGCAGGACGGACAGGGATGTTTTGATCAAACCAACATGAACAAGGTAACAGGCGACCCCTGGGTACGTCAGTGGGTGGCACTCTGGTATGTCGGGCAATACGGAACGTTAATATTGGTGTACATGGATGCATCTCTGCGGGGGGGTCTCTTGGGCCAGCTGCGGGGGAAATGGAAAGTCCACCATTCACTCAGCTGTGTCTTTTGTCATGTGCTAGTCTGACTGCAGACACTGATCTGAGGAACTAGGCCTTTGCTTTGTTGACAGTTAACCTGGCTGGGTCCTTCAAATCCCGCTAGCTCTTGTGGTGGTTGGGTGGTCTGCTCGAGATCTACTGTGACAGACATGGAACAAGTCTACGACTACTGGGAGGAGAAGAAATAGAGGCTGTGGGGCTTCTGTTGTCTCTGTCTCTTATCACAGGAACAAGCCGACAGTCAATGATAAGGGAAAGTAGAAAAGAAGCTGTTGCCAGGGAAAAAACATTTAAAGCTATTATGTTCAAAATATCCGAGGGGGAGCCGTGTTAGTCTGAATCTGCAAAAGCGACGAGGAGTCCTGTGGCACCTTAGAGACTAACTGAAGTGTAGGAGCATAAGCTTATGGACTCAGGACTCCTCGTCGTATGTTCAAAATGGAGCCTCTTTAGATTCCATCTTGTTTCCCTTCTTCTCCCTGTGTTACCCTTTTCCCGCCAAAGTGCACACAGTCACCTGCATCACCTGCTCGGTGCACCCCATACTATTGTGTGCACTCGGCCCAAAACTGTGCACTAGGCACTAAAATGAGCTGCACACCGCTCATTAACTGTGCACCCCTCCCTACTGGAGTGCTGCACCCGGCACCATTTGCTGCACACCACCCTTACCACCCGTTTCCCGCCTTGAAGGGCTTATAAGCCCTGACCAAAGAAGGGTTCGGGTTCGCCATTGTCCGTCTGTATTGTAGCCTGTCAGTCACTGTCTGCTGTCCCAAGTCCTGTCAGTGTCTGTTCGTCTCCCGTGGTGATCCATTTTAGTTTGTGGGTTCTGGTAAAAGGATTTGTTCGAGTGTGGGAGAGAGAGAGCCTCGCGAGTGTGGGAACGCCCCACTCAAGGATTATTGGCTTCTGCCCCGTGGACTTGAACTCAGATACTATCGTCCTTGCCCGCTGGATTGGACTGTAAGCCGAAGGGCTACCAAGCGCCGACCCCAGAGGGAATCTACCAGACTCACTGGAGGCAAAGATCCACCTGCAGGAGGGCGGTTCAACAGGACTACCTTTCCCTGTCAGCGAAGGACTCCCTGCTGTCCTCCCCTAAGGCTTTACATTAGCCAAAGGGTAGAAGGTCGCAGGCATCAATCGCCATCTGCCTCTGATTCGTGAAGTATATTCCCCTTTGTTGTATCCGGGGCTTATCTATCTTCTTTTCTTCTGGGATAAGGTGGGTTTACACTGTTGTTGTTGGTGTATGTTCTACTGTTCAAAATATATGGTTTGGCCCTAAACATTGGTCTAGCCTGATTTGTGGTTACCCAATCCAACGGTGATCAGATACGTTACACCAGGCCGAATCTGGCTTCTGGGAGGGGGACACCCGGCTTTAGGCCGTGGGCTTAGTCATTGCCATTAGCTTTAGTTCCCACAACAATTGCTTACCTCAGTTCCCCAGGTAACAGTTTGGCGACCGCGGCAGGACCTGGTGAGGGTTGCTTCATCCCTTGTCAGGCCCTGAGCACACTCACACTTGTATGGGTGGTGCTTAAACATACAACAACAACAACAGTATTGCTGTGCTCGTGGCGGGTTCCGTCTTCGGGGACCCTATCCGTTATCCCCGATTGTGATTTCAAGGTGGTCCTGGGGTTCCAGCTGAGGGGGACGCCCCTCTGGGACCCAGGCCGCCCGACAGTGACAGGTTCCCGACCCTGTCAGCTGAGGGTAAAGCCCTGACCCTGGGAGCAGTCGCTTAAGAAGGCGGAAGGCCTACTCTGGGTAGTGCGCCTGGGCGCTGCAGTCATCTTTTAAACCCCTTCTGCCGCTTGGTGCGGGCAGGAAAGCGGCACTCCCTGTTTGTGTGCGATTTCGTGTTTTTCGGGTTTTTTTTAGTGAGGCACTGATTGACAGGCTTTGGCTCCAAGCCTAGTCATAACCCAGTGACTCAGATTCTTTTTAGTGCGGGCTGGGTAAGCAGCCCAATTAGCAAGATGACAGCAAACCGGCTGTTTGACATCGATGGCTGGCGGCCCGCGCACAATAAAAGCTCTTTGGAGTTTGCTGTCAATTCTTTTGGGAAAGGAGCTAACCCCTGGGTGAAAGATTCTTTCAGGGGGGAGGATTCTCTCGATAAGTTTGGCAGTTTGTGGGAAAAATACGTGGAGGCTAAGCCCCACCCAAAACGGAAACATCAAAAAAGGGCCTTGATGTATGGATTGGCTATGACTAGCCGAGAGCTAGCCTCTCAAATGAGATCAATGAGATCAATGTATGATGAGGCAATGCACCACTTGAGTGTGGTTGAGGGAAAGCTAGAACGGAAGGAGCTTGAGGTTGAGTCCAAGGACTCCCTTATTCAAACTTTGAATGCTAAGATGTCTGTTCTAGAAAATAAATTAGTTGACTCATGTGTAAAAGAGGAAAAGGCAAAGGTGTTGATAGTTGAACAAACTAAACAGCTTGATGACACCCAAGCCGCTGTGAGGCAACTCATGAAAGAAGCTAGCAGCGTGCGAGCTAAAGGGGATCACACTCAGTGTAATGAAACCATTTGTAAGCTGCAGCAGCAGCTGGGCATGGCGAAAGGAGTAGTGGCGGCTATTCAGCCCCAATACCGAGAGGTAGACTGGTTGGGGGAAGGTGAAGTACAATCCAGTCTTCCCTCTGCTCCCCCTCCATCGTATCCAGGAGGGGAGGAAAAATCGGAGTGCATGGCCCCTATAACTACCACCCGGGTACAATATCCTGGTCAACCTTACCCGGTGATAAAACAAGAACAGAGGGCCCTGACGCCAGAACAGGCTCGGGCTCTAGGTAAAAATATGGGACCATGCAATAAAGAGAAGGTATTGGACTGGGTTGCCCGAATATGTGCCACCCCTAATTTGAGCTCAGAAGATATAGTGATTCTGTTAAAAGAATGTATGCCAGTGGAGGATTATTTAGCACTTCCCTGTTCTGTGATCACTGACCCTAACCCGGACAGGAAAGTGCTGTTTACAGCTGTGTGTAAAGTGTTCTTCCCTCAAGAAGATCTGGTAGGGAAGGCATACTCAGATCAACAAAGAGAGGGAGAAAAACCTGAGCTGTATATAATTAGGAAAAAAACCTTATCTTGGTTAGCTGGGCTTGGAGATCAGAGGGCTGATAGACTAGAGTGTGACAACCCCCAGTTTAAAAAAATGTGTTATCAAGGCTTACTCCCAAATTTGAAATTGGCCCTAGGAGCTTTCGATTATCAGAATGCTCCTCTTCCTATGTTTGAGGAAAAATTAAGGGAAGTTTTTGAACTGCAGCAGATGGCAGCTGCTGGACCTAAACAGCACACCAAAAGGATATCAGCCTTGAATGAGGAAAACCAGGCTGGAGAAAAACCTTCTAAAAGGGAAAACCAGCCATCAAAAGAGCAAAAAGCCCCAAAGTCTAGCTTTCCTCCTCGGGTATTGTGGGGAAAGAAAGAAAACATTTCTGCTACCCGAAAAGTTCTTGCCCAGAGGCTGTCAAAATATCTGCCCTGGGACAAGATAAAATCCATGAATACAGACTCTATCTTTAGCGAGCTAGTCCAGTGGGAAGGAAAAGCAGCTGCTGCAGCCGAGACTCCATTTTGTGGTTGGCCCGGGGGGAGGGAAAGGGGGCTGCTGCAGCCGAGACTCCATTTTGTGAGGAGAGGTCAAGATGTACGGCACCACCATCTTGTCACAGTCCTTTGGAGCCTGATGGGCGCCGCCATTTTGAAGACCGTGGGAACCAGGGTCGCCATTTTGAAGACCGTGGGAACCAGGGTCACCATTTTGATGACCGTGAGAACCGCGACCCCCAATGAGGATGCCGAGCTTCCCTGCCCCTGAAGATGCAATGGATTACTTCACTATCATTTGATGTATATGGACGACCAATAGTAAAGATTATGTATAAAGGGAAGTTCGGAACCATTGAACAGCAAGCATTGGTGGATACAGGGGCTTCTACCAGCCTGATCTGCACTAAACAATCACCTATAATCAGGAATACAAATATTGATCATATAAGAACTTTACAATCTTATAATGGCAAAACCTCTATTGTACCCTTCATTAAGGATGTTCATTGTCAACTAGGATCCTTACAGATTACAACCACTATTGGTCTGCAAGAACTGGATAATGTGGGTATCCTTGGCATGGATTTAATTAAAAACTATGGATTAGTCATAGATCTACCTAACCGGTGCCTATATAAGACCAGTGAAGAAGATGAAGTAGGAACCATCGTATTACCCTCTCACCGGATAGGATCTGTAAAAGCATGTCAGGATATAGCGATGCCCACCTGGGAATCAGATGTGCAGGAGATAGTGGAGCGACATTTAAGGGTATTTGCACAACATAAGCTCAGCTGCGGGAAAATACAACAGATAGTTAGTGTAACTGGACCAGACCCACGCCCAATTAGGCAATACAAATTTCCAATAGAAGCGCAGAAGGGGATAGACGACACCATACAGGCTCTATTGACACAAGGGATAATCGTCAAGTGTGATAGCCCGTGTAATTCCCCAATATGGCCGGTCAGAAAGGCTGATGGGAAATCCTGGCGGCTCACTGTAGACTATCGGGAGTTAAACAAAGTAACTCCTAAAATGACCCCGGTAGTTGCAAAATACCCCGAAATAATTGCTCAAATTGCTAATGGTGCACGATGGTTTTCAGTAATTGATATATCCAATGCATTTTTCTCAATACCTCTCCATCCTGATTCATGGTACAAATTCGCTTTTACCTATTTACACCAACAATTTACGTTCACCCGAGTACCACAAGGGTTCCATAATGCCCCTACAATTTGCCATCGAGCGGTCACAAATCTATGGAAAAACTGTAAATATGCCAAACATATTTTAAGCTATGTAGACGATATTTTGATAGCGACAGTAGATCGAGAGGAGCACTTGAAAGTTTTAGAAGAAGTATTGGACACCTTGGGAAAAGCTGGATTTTTGATCAACTCCTCCAAGGCCCAGTTAGTTAAGACCAGCGTCACATACTTAGGAGTGGAGTTAGGCAAAGATGGTAGGAAACCCGACCAGGAGCGTATTAAAATGATTGCCAGCCTTCCTGCGCCAACAGACGTTCACACCTTAAGGATGTTTTTAGGCCTTTTGGGTTTCAGTAGGGATTTCATTGAGAACTTCGGGCTGAAAGCAAAACCACTTTATAAGCTATTAAAGAAATCCCAACCTTGGCAGTAGGGCGCTGTTCAACAGGAAGCATTCATGCAGTTAAAACAATCTTTGATGCAAGCCCCAGCACTTGCCTATCCTGACCCCAATAAGGAGTTCCACCTACAGTTGTCCACAGGGAAAGAAGCCATTGGGGCCATATTGATGCAAGAAAAAGGAACATCAACCAAACCAGTTGCATATGGGTCCCGGACCTTATCTGAAGTAAAACAACAATATACCGCTTGTGAAAAAGAGGTGTTGGCCTTAGTAACACAACAATTGCATACCTCAGTTCCCCAGATAACAGAGCTTTTTCATACAATGAATGTTTAGCCTGCGGAACTCACTGCCACATGATATATTGAGATTAGGGATGTAGACAAGAGACTGGACTAATGGTCTCGTATCCCAACCTTAGCATGGCATTGCTGGGAGCCTCACCGTGTTCTCCAGATTCTCCTCGTACGGGCTGAGCGGGCGAAAGCGCAGACGGATCACCTCGTTCAGAGCACGCACATACTCCACACGCTCCTGCAGCTCTGCCATCTGGCCTCGGTACTGCTCCAGCTGGAGAAAGAGCGAGCACCGTCCGGTCAGACCCCCCGCCCTGACAGAAAACTGCGCTGAGGCCCAGGGTTCTGGCCCCACTTGCTGGGAGCCTGCAGAGCGCCTGCGCACAGAGGAGGAAAGGCCCACTCACCCCCTGCATTATTTGCAGGGCTGTGTGAAGAGGCTGGACAAACAAATTGAACAAGCGGGACGTTGTCCGTTTCTCTGCACAAAGCAGCCCTCCTCTCCCGCGGTGGAACAAACTGGGCGGCTGGGCGGGCTGCTTCCACGGGCTGACACTGCCTTGCTGGGTTCTCTCGTCAGAACCTCTGACGAGCAGGAACCCATGTAGCTCAGCAGCCCCCCGCTGACCCCGACAGCTGCTCTGTTCTGCGCTGTGCCATGCCGCAGGGGGCCCCGCACAAAGGCCCTGGCCCCAATCAGGCTGTAGGGAAGGAGAGCAGAGGGCCCCAACAGGGTGGGGACGAGCCTTGGCCCCAGGCGGGTACATGGCACTGCCGGTTCCAGCCTTCCCTTCTGGGAGCACTTGGCGATGGTGAAGATGTTGGTGCTGACATTCTGGTAGAGCTGCACCAGCGCGCCCAGCTCGGCAATGAGGCTCTCGCTACGCTGGGACGTCTCGCTCAGCAGCAAGGAGAGGATCTCCCTGCTGATGGAGTCCAGAAGGGGCACTGGGGGCACAGGTCCATCCTGGGGGCCCAGCCAGACATAGAGGGTGGAGAGCCCTGGGAAGGGAGGGTTCTATCAGGTCTATCAGTCACCTTCATCTCTGTAGGAGAGAGGTATATAGGAGGGTGAATGTGTTGCTTATCCCCATGCAAGCCTTAAAGATAAGAAGATAAATAAAGACTTCAGCTTGAATATGAATAATTTTAGCAGGTGTCCCATATTCAGTCTAGAGAAATATGGTCACCCTAGATGTCCACCTTCTGAATATGGAAAGTCTAAGTGTGCAGGAGTATTTTCAATAAGGGGAAATTTACAGAATGGCTTAAATATTAATTGCAGTGGGCAGTTGAGATGGTTCAAAATGTTATCCTTTTCCTTTCAGTAATTGTCTCTGCAGAGCACTGTATCCATCAAAGGTCTGTACCCACTCAAGCTTGACAGCCTGATCATTTCGTCAAAGTTTAAAAAAAACACATTGAATCTTAGAAGAATGCCAGGCCATGCTATCCCATGGAGTATTTTCTCTATCTTTGATGGAACTTGAAAGGCAACTACCTCAGCCACATCTCTTGGAATAATCACAGAGGAGACCTGCAAATGTTAAGAAGTGTGTGTCCTGCTGACTGACCAGGTCATGATGGAGTGTATTCAGGTCATTTCATTTGTGTAAATCAAAGGAATGGTTAGTTGCGTAAGTCTGTATTCTTATGTTTAAACTTCATGAAAACTAGTGGCATGTGCTTGTATTATTTTTGCTTATCTATCCCTTTCATAATATAGTTGCAAACATTTACATGGTAAAGAGCCTGGCAATTAAATGACCCATCAAAGAAACCTTGTGAAATGCTAATGAAGGGCTTCATCAGAAAAGGTGTTAATTCTAAAACAACTAGCCTTTGTGCTGAGAACCTAAGGTCAGAGACTCAAAGCCTATTCCTTACTCTCAGCAAAAGACAAAGCCCACATAGATAGAGACCTTGTCAGTTTTAGTATAGGGCAATGTTTCTTAAACTGTATTTTGCAGCATACCGGTGTGCTGCGAGGCAGTCAGAGGTGTGCCACGGAGAACAACAGAGTTCAAAATGGCTGCCCTTAAAGGGGCAGGCGACCCCAGATCCCATCCTCAGGTCCCCTTGCCCCT